TTTCTGCATCATCTCCAGTTCCGACAACATTGTGTTGTTGTGATCTTTGGAGCTCTGCCCTCGCTTCGGTCGCTCGATCCCCCTCCTCTTTGAAGAGATGAGTGCCACCAAGGACAAGTGTGTAGGAAGCAATAATTAGTTGCGGATTTACATCAATGATTAGGAGAAACAAAGAGATGGATGATGTTATTGTTGTTATCCCAAGGTTTGGTGGGTGTACAGCGCCTTGCTCGAAATCCTCCTTCAAGATCTTCCCCATTCGTTTCCTTGGTGACAATAAGGGCTACAGTGGATCTCAGGTACAAAACCCTTCGTTCTTTACTTAACAGTTTTTGCATTTGGATTTTCGAATTTTCTTCATATAAATTTCATCATTATACTTTTGTTATTTTTATAAAAATATTTGAGTAAAAAAAGGGGGAAATGTAATTTCAAGTTATAGGAAATAGGTAAGGCGTGAAAAAAAAGTAGTTTTTTATGTACGTCGTATCAAATTAAAGATTGCAGCCTTGCAAGAAAAAAAAGCAATAGTTTTGAATGAAAGGAAAGAGTAATAATTTTGGTCATTCATACCTCACAATTACCTAATATAAGAGCCTAAAACTGAAAAGGCATATTTTATATAAATGAAAAGAAAGCAGAAGAATGCATTTGACCTTTATTTATTAATGAGAGAGAGGGATTATTTGAAGGAAAATTTTTCTTGGCGACAATTCTTTGACAAGTATTTAGAAGGAAAGAGATTTGTTTAGGTTTGTTCTATTTATGTTTCTCAATTTTGTATTCATATTATTATACTTTTTTCTGTTCAATAATTTAATAAACCCTCTTTATTTATCACTTTTCTCCTAGAATGATAGGTAAGATGTGTTTTCTATGTATCAAGTCAATTTCTGATTAAAAAAAGTCAATTTATCAAAACATTTCAATTCATTGACTAATAAGAAAATGAATTGATCCCTCATGTGATATGAAATTTACTTAGAATACTTGAGCAGTACAACGCAAGAGAAAAAAGAGTTTGGGCACTAAAAATATAAACTCCAAATTTATATGTTGCCTGTGCAAGGGAAGTACGTGCTAGTTAATAGGAAAACACGTTAAGAGCACATTTTTTTCCGCCAAAAAAGAGAAAGATAGGTTACAAAAGAGATCTAAACGCAGAATATATTCTGCGTTGTTATGATCATCTTTGGAGGCTCGGGGGGCCGCACAAAATGACGCAGAATCAGAAACCACGTACAGCAGACCACCGAGGCAAATAAGAAAGAGAAATGTTATAATATCTTAAATAAAAAACATAATTATTAAAAATTCTCTTTGTGCCAAACTAAATACAAATTTATTTTTATTATTGATATAATTATTTTGAAATTTTTTCTTCATTTACGTTTCATCTTGCGTTCTAAGCGTGCCCTTTCTTCTTCAGTTCGTGCCCCCGCGCTGCATCGTCGCTCCCCCAGTTCGCTCTCCTTCTCGGCCTCCCCAAACCCTATCTCGCACTTTTTCCTCTATCTATCCCTGAAGAATTTCACTGCTTTCAGTATTTTTGGTGACAGAAGTTTGAGATTGTGTCAGGTGCTACGATTCTTCCTTCTTTTGTTGCACATTTGCACTAGCTTTTATTAATAAAAACTACCTTTGAATTTTTTTTTTACGTTGATGTGTAATATCCTAGTATTTAAAAAAAAATAATAATAATAAAATAATATATAAGAGTCAACTTTCCACCAACTTTGGGTGGAAAGTTGAAACTTGAGGGTGGAAAAGTTAGAGCGTGGAAATTGGGAGTGGCATGTGGAAAATTTGGCATTCAAGGAAGACTTTGGGGGGAAGGATTTAATGCTAGAAGGAAAAAATGAAAAAGGTAGTTGGGAAGATGGAGATAAAAGAGCGAGTAGGGGGGCAGATGAGAATGCGTGAGAGAAAGAGGGGAAGAGAGAAAGAGAGCGAGAGAGAAATAGAGAGAGCATAGCAGTAGTCCTCGTGAAGGAGAAGGCAAAGCTTTGAAGATAATTTAGGTACACAAGATTACCTCTTTTTATCAAACTTTCTTTATGAATATTTTCTGTATATTTTGAGCTTCCTATTTATATTATTACTATAGTAATTGGAGAAAATTTTGAAACTTATATATGAGCTAAGTATTGAGTTTTGACAAAAGATGACCATAGAAATTTAGAAGTGAATGAGTTGTTAATTTTAATCGGTTAGATTTGTCCATTTGTTGGTTTTTAGTATTTAAATTAGTTTTTCTAGATGAAAAATATGTTATATATGATTTATATTATATTTTTACCGATTAAATTCAAGTTAAGTAATTTATTTGGGTTGTTTGACATATTATTAAGATTTTAATCGGTTTAGTTTTATTTATTGGGTGACTGGAGGTTTTAAAATAATTATTATAGCTACAAAGTTTATTATTTATGGAAATATATATATATATATATATGGTAGTTATACCATTAAAGTTTTGATTAGATTATTTATTTATGAATATTTGAAGTATTATTGAATTTTTGAGAGTTTGATTTTGAGTTTAAATTGAAAATGAGATTTTCAGAATTTAGAATATAGTAATTTTATATTTGGAAATTGTGAAAAATTCTTTTTATCAAGGTAAATAATTTGGAGGTGGTAAATAAATAATTTGGGTTGTTAGAAATTTTAAGTTGTTTCTAAAATATTTAATAATATTTGGGTTATGAGAGTTGCGGGAATTTAGAATAAAAATTTAATTAGATTAGAAATTTAAATAATATAGAGAAGTTTAATTAATTAATTAGTTTATATTAATATGTGGTTATATTAATTGTGTAGATTAATTATTGGTTGAGCAAAGGATTGACCTTGTGGTAATCCTTAGTATTGCTTTGGCGAGAGGTAACCACTTTCCACTTGTTATGTATGCTTGTATGATGTTTGTGAGTGATTTTGAATTATATGAGATTCTTGAAATGCCATTGAATTATTATTTGAGCAATGAAAGGCATCATTGTTGAAATTGCCTTGAGATACTTTATGTTATTGAAAAATAGTATGAGATTATGAATTTATAAATTTGTCATGTGGAACAAGAATTTATTGAGAAATGGTTTGAGGACTGGTGTTGATTATTGAAATTTCGAAATCTCGATTTTGGTAAATGTGAAAGTTATTATGTTATTGGTAAATGACTATTCTCATGAGTATAAATACGAGAGGGGACGGTGAACGTTGATTTGTGGGAGACATGTTATAGGGAGAATAAGGGGGTGAATTTTTGTACATATTATAGAGGTAATAAGGTGGGAGGACGCCAGATGTACACTGGTTGATCCTTTGGCCCTATCATGTGTTGTAGGGCGTATGACACCCCACTAGTGGACTAGAGGGGGAACCCATGGTCCAATCTTGTGCTCTGTGGATTTTGGCCTATTCACATCACTTGATCGGTGAGCTTATTATGTTGAACTACCAGTCACATGGGACAGTACTAGCCCATGGGTTCAGTCAGAGGAAATAAGGTGTGAGGAAATAAGGTGGAATTGAGAGTGAGATATTGTATTTTGATATGTCTATATATATATAACCATATGACAATTGTGAATGTTATGATTTTAGTAACTGTTCCACTTGACACCTCTCAAGCACTTACTTGTATGCCTAATGAGTAGGATTGTTGGTTACTGAGGCTTTTGTCTCACCCCGTGGTTTAACATTTTCAGATAATAGCTCTAGGGCTGGTCCGTCAGGGAAGGCAGCGAAGGCTTAGCTATCAAGTTTATCTTGTTTAGCCTCCTTTTAGTCATGTGATGAGTATTGTATATTGCCACATATAGCTCTTTTTGCATACTCTGATTTAATCGAGACTTATGGTCTTAATTACTTTTGTTGCTGGGTTGCTTGGGTCTGTAAGCTATGAACCCACAATAACTTTTGAAAGTAGTTGACTACTGTTGGTTTGGACAAATTTTATTCTGAAAATATCATGTTATGGGCTTAGAGATTAATTGTGATGTGCTGGGCTTTGCAAAGCCCAAGGCCTAGTTATTGTGAAATATTATTAGTTACGGTATTCATATAATTTGCTTAGTAAAACTCTTATAATCATGATAGACATTTTGAATAATTAGTTCAGGTCTTTTCTATCATGATTAACATTCTTGGCGAATCAAATTTCTTTTTATAACCATGGTAGCCTTTTCAAATATTATACTAAGATTCTTTTCTACCATGGTTAGTGTTATTAAATTTGGAGTTTAAAAAGGTTAGTAAAAGGTTGGAGATAAGTGATGTTACATGATGCATGGGGGTTATTTTCGGTGAATGAAAAATGACGTTCTTTTTATTGCCTGTTGTTCTACCTTCTCCTTTTCTTTGCTATTTTGCCCCCTCCTTTTGTGTTGGCCCTGCTCCCATTGTTGTCTGTGATGTGTGCAGTGATTATTATCTAATGGGTTGATAGGGACTTTGTATGGGCAAAGTCCCACATCGGGTAGTATGGGTTGCTTGATGGGGTATTTAAGCCAATGGCTCTCCCTCCCTAATAGCTAGCTTTTGGGGATTGGCTCTCCAAAGGTTTGGGTACCTATCAATGGTATCAGAGCCGGTGGTTGAGGCATCGGAACGAGCCGCTTTCTTCATAAATAGATTTATTAATATATAGATGAAATTTGCTTCCTTTTAACTTTTAACAAAGATCGAAACGAGCTGCTTTCTTCATAACAGAGAACGTCCCAATGCTAAATTAATAGGAAAACACGTTAAGAGCACATTTTTTTCCGCCAAAAAAGAGAAAGATAGGTTACAAAAGGGATCTAAACGCAGAATATATTCTGCGTTGTTATGATCATCTTTGGAGGCTCACTGGGCCGCACAAAATGACGCAGAATCAGAAACCACGTACAGCGGACCACCGAGCTTATGAAAGGTCCATAATGAACATTCATCCATCACTTCTTCCAGCATTTGGAGGCAAAGGCTACTATGGAATGAAAGTACATAGAGCAGTAATTGCTTCTGGTGCAAGGTATGCTTCTTGCAAAATAGAAGAAATCTGGGAATAGAAGAAATCCATTGAAAACAAATCTGACAATTAGTCTATTTGTCTAGGGCCAAAATGAGATTTTATTTGGCAAGTGCTTTAATAAAATGATTTTTCCATGTTCTCACTTTCAGGAGCACCGGTTATATGTAGAGGTGGTTGAAGCTTTATGTGAAGAACGTATAGTTTGGAGGGAAGATGGTGTTCCCCTCATTCGAAGCAAAGAAAACCCCAGTGAGTTAAGCTAACAGAAGTAAAGACTGGTCCTTTAATGAGGTCTTGAGGTCACCCTGAAGATCTGATTTCACTGTCATATGGTTATAGCATACATTCTTTCAACACTACTTTTCACTGCAATACCTATCACTTGATGAAATTGTCTTGCAATTTCAATGTTTTCTGCTGGTGGTTTTGGCCTCATAAAGCTTGTAACTTTGACAAAATTAGTGATGAATAATGATATGAGTATCAGATGGGTTTTGAGGGGCCCCTGATTAGGATTGTGGGATTCTTCTCGTATGTGCGCCCTTGGCTTCTAAAAGCTGTTGGGCTCTGTACGACTTCTATACCTGATTAAGAATAACATTGATCAAGTTCAGATCATCTGCTGTGATGGTAACATTTGTATCTTCATTTGACCTTTTAAATTATGAGAAGAGATCTCAGTACTTATCCAACTGATGATAAGTTCGGATAGTTGTTACTTTGTAGGCTGTTTTGGATTACATTGGTTTCACAAAATTTTTAAGAACGATGTGCTCTAATGTAATACCTCTAATAACTATTCCTTTCATTGGGTGTGGAATTTTTTGTTACATGCTCATATTCACACCCTCATCTTGCTTTCTTGGGATTACATGAAGTTCTAACGAGAGTAAAATTTCTTTTTGTTTATTTTCGGATTTCAATATTAAATTTCTTCTGTATATTTCGGTCTAGATCCAAGCATATTGTAACAGTCCCAGCCTGGCGCATAAAAGGCATGAATAACTAAACAAGTGGGGATTAATTTTGTTTTATTAAAGGTAAGTCATTTTATCATTTTAAAATTATATTCATAATAAAATAAAAGTTATATTTTTAGAAGGAGAAAACTTAGATCCAGTTCATTACGTCGAGTCCAACCAGTTCACCAATCAACATGCGCCACCTGGATTAATTGAACACCTCACCATTTCACACCGTCTCCCTCCATTAACCAGCCGCAAGTTCCTAAATCTACAATTCTACCTGCTATTGTGGAATTAATTACACTGCTCAGCGGCTATCAATTGATTCCCCATTCACGGGTCACGACAAAACAAATCAAAGTGGTGCTTCACTCCTCTTTTGATTAAAAGACTGTGCTTCATTTCTCTCTATCGACAAATTGAAAGGGGATGGCTGGTACAAGAGAAGTTTGCTCTTGGAATTATACTGATATGAAATTTTTATGCATGAAGGCAGTTCTTTGATTTTTCAAAACCATGGGTACCTAAACATCTTTGGACTAGAAACAAGGTCTTCAACTCTTTCAACGATAAAGAAAGATGATGACAAAGCAAGAGCGAGGGAAGAACCTAGAAAGAGCGACTTGAGCAAGATTTGACGGCATCACGGCAATCACAATTCTAAAACCAGGTACTTGCTCAGAATCTCAGGTCATTGATACCCAATACCTACAAATCATGATCGCCACTCCTCTTCACTGATCATGAATCCACAACATAGATTGTTGCAGTCCTCTGTTCGTGAAGTTTCCTCGACTGACAATCCACTTTGCTGAGCGCACTGCCACTGCCCTCTCTTCACCGCCGCTGCAACTGCTTGCCCACTATTGCCATTTCTCATCGGCTGCTGTCATTTCTTCATGATCACTGCTCGTAAACGGAGATAGGGAGGAGAGATCCATAGTAGCAAACAGTACTGTAGATTTAGGAAATGATTGTATCTTCAGGAATCTCCTGCCTTCTCTGAGGCTCAAGTTTCACAAGATCTTGGTAATGCTATCTCAGATCTCTTTCCCCTGATGTAATATGTTTTGATTTGTTAATTTTTGAAGCTCAAGCTTATCTTGTTATTCCAAAAAAAAAGAGAGGAAGGAGATGATTAATTTAACGTTGCGACTCGTTAACGGAGGAGAAGACGCTGTGAAATATTGATGTGTTTAGTGAATCCAGGTGGCGCATGTTGATTGGTGAACTGGTTGGACTGGACCTAATGAATTGGATATAAGTTTTCTCCTTTTTAGAATTAAAATTAGATCACAATCATATTTACTTGAGTGAAATAATTATTTCTCTGAAATTTATAGTTTGCAAAATTATTTGATAGAAATTTATGAAATTCCATTTAAATTGAAGTCATCAAATGTGTTTCATTTCCCATCTTCTCTAATGTCTATTGAGAACCCTGATCCTCCAAAACTCAGATGCCCGTGCATCTGATTCAATCGCGATGCTTCCTATAAGGTTAACTTTCCAAGAAGTACTCTCTTACACAGGAGTTGTTGCCCAAAAAAGAAAAGAAAACGCATTAGAGCTAGTTGGGAGATATCTAATTTTAAATATAAGATTTTAATTATTTTATTTCTTATATTTATTATTTTTTTAAATTAATTGACTTAACTTATAAAATAATATATAATTTACTATTACATATGATTATTTTAAAGAGATCATGTCACTTTTATTATAATTAATTGATTAATTAATTAATTCATTCATTCATTCATCTAACATTTTTAATTTATGAAAATTAATTGAGTGGTTTTTATATTAAGAATTGAAAGTAGTGTATTTTATAAAAATTTAATTTTTAAATTATTTAGTTACCATTTTTTAAGTTATAATATTTTTTAAGGCTACATATTAGAAAGCATTAGAAAATAAAAATTAAGTATTATGCGAGGGAAATATGAGTTTTAAATTCTTAAAAAGTTAATACTTTGAACGAACTAAATAAGATAGATTTTCAAATTTTTCAGGAGGTTTAACTTCTCCCCTCCAATCTATAAATGCGTAATTGAATCATAACATTTAAATATAATAAAGGTATACTTTGTCGGCGAAAAAAAAAAGGTTATAAGTTGCAACGCTTTTATGCACTTCTTTGCCATGTGAAAAGATTAGTATAATTTAAATTTCTTAATAAAGTTAAATTACTCAAAAACTAAATATAATATAAATACGAAAGGAAAACAATGTTATTGACTTCTTTTTTTTAAAAAAAAAAAAATGACAGAGAAAAATTCCTGCGCAAAAAAAAGCAGTATTGATTGTAACCCTGACTCGCATGCCGAGAGGAGATTCTCCGCCTCATGCTTCTGTTATCCTCCGTTTGCCGACCCAAATATTAATTAGAGAGCGAGAAATTGTCCTGCGCAGAAGAATGAGATCTACTTCACCAGAAGCGTTTTGCTTTTCTTGATTAATCTGCCCAAGTATGCTGCTCCTTTATGAGTTTTCTTATCTATATATTTACCATCCGATTTTGTTTTGTTTTCGGGTTTTGTGTGTCTATTCACTTTGCTTTTGCTTATTGTTTTGGTATGAGCAATGATGGTGATTGTTGATCCTCCTATAAAGTCTTCGGATTTTGTCTTGACCCCTGCTGTTTGGAGAGAAACAAAAATTGCTAAGATTGGATATTTTGGGCAAATTTGGTATAATTGAATTGGGGCAAGATTGTGAGCTTCTCTTGCACTCTCCTCCTCCTCGGGGGTGAGGTATTTCATCGTAAAAAAGGATTACTGTTTCTAGGATCTTATTTCTGCCTTTGGAGAATAAATAATTAATGTCGTATTTCCACATTCCAATCAGATGCCCAATGATTAATTAGGTTGTAAGTTATTGGAATAAGCAAACAAGTCAAAACCTTGATAGACTGTTATACAGGGTCATAATTCCAAGCATCATGCATTGATATTAAAAACTGAAACAAGTCTTTTGACTATTGATTCCTAATGATGTTGCACAGATTATTACTTATTTTTGTCTATCATGCTTTACTTTTTAATAAACATGTTGCTATGTATGAAGTATGATTACTGCTTGTTGAAGTACTTTCATCTTCAGTTTGTAGTTGGAAATAAAGGTTTTGGCATGTTGTCACATGATTTGCAGGGATTTCTAGCTACAGCTAAACATGCCAGTTTGAAGATGACAATAGCAAAGATAGTATATAGCTTTTGGGATCCAGTCATATCTACAGCCTGATTACCCAGCAAAAAACTATACACGATCATCTGCAATTGCAGAATTTCAAGTTTTTAATTTATTTATCCATAAAAGGATCATAGCTACTATGGAAGTTCAAAACTTGCTTTTAGCGGTTTGTCCAGACTTATCAGTCCCATTGGATAGATATGGAAAACAATCATGCCTTATTAAGTCACCTCAATTGCCTTCTCCATCCTATTGTTCTTTCATTCAGTTCCAGAAACTGGCATCTAAGGGAGCCTGTAACTGTATTACCTACAAAGTGTCTTCTAGAAGAAAATTGAATGTAGTGGTAATTTAGAACGTGGGGTTTTCACCACAGAGGCTAGCAACTTGAGTGCTCAAGTCAGACGGAAAAAGCTGGCTGTTTTTGTCTCCGGTGGCGGATCAAACTTTCGTTCAATTCATGAGGCATCAATTCAGGGATCAATTCATGGAGATGTCTCTGTTTTAGTTACAAACAAAAGCAGTATGTATTATTTTAAACCTTTATTCTCCTGTACAATAATGTGGGATCTTTGCTTTTCTCAATTATTAGTCCTTTTATTTTGTTTTTCCTTTTGAAAGATCTTCATCTCTCATTCGTGTCTTCTCTTTACTTGCATGTTTCATTCTTTTTGCTTATTGTGGGTAAGGTCATTACTGCTACTAAATGTCATCAATGTCAAAGAAGCCCTTTTCCCTTGTACATTAATGTTGTGCATTAGTAGTAAATTGGATTGTTGGTTTCTTTTTCTTTCCCTTTGCAGACTGTGGGGGTGCAGAGTACGCCAGAGATAATGGCATCCCAGTTATACTATTCCCCGATGATGGACTATCCCCTGGCGATCTTGTTAATTCTTTGAGGTCATACAGATATACAACTTTTTGAGCTGTCCTTTTTTTTTCCCTCCCCTTTTTGGTTAGTGAAGAAAAACAGAAAACTAACTTAGCCTCTGTACTTTAATTCACTAAACTTCTCTTCCATTTATGGGAATAATAACACAGCAATCTCTACAGTTACTATGGCTGTGTGAAAATATCATCTTTTCTATTCGTGAGTCGAGAATAATGTTTGTCAAGTTCAGATCTTCTTAACAACAATTTACCTGCAAGCGAATGTATTGGTGAGACCTGGTGCATAAATACGTGGCCATGTCATTAATATATGAAACATTATCTGCATCAGGAGTTTGGAGATTGATTTTATCCTTCTAGCTGGGTACCTCAAACTTATACCAGTGGAATTGATCCGAGCTTATGAAAGGTCCGTAATAAACATTCATCCATCACTTCTTCCAGCATTTGGAGGCAAAGGCTACTATGGAATGAAAGTACATAGAGCAGTAATTGCTTCTGGTGCAAGGTATGCTTCTTGCAAAATATTTCCACATATGCTTATTGCCATTGAGTACTACATGTACTTGGATCTCGATTACCTTATCTTTATTTCTCTTATATGTGTTTAGATATTCGGGACCTACAATTCATATTGTCGATGAACACTATGACACCGGGCGTATCCTTGGCCAGCGTGTTGTGCCTGTGCTTCCTAATGACACTGCAGAGCAGTTGGCTGCCAGAGTTCTAAAGGAGGTGGATAATTGGATATTTTTATGTCATTGATCCCTGCCCCCAATGGATTATAGAGATGAAACAATTCTCAAATTGATCCCTTCATAAAATTATATTCTCATTTTAGTTTTTTATGATCCCCTTAAAAAATTGTGAACAAGTGACTTTGCTGATAGCATTTATTGGTACCATGTGGCATTAGTTGTGCCCTGTTATTAAGTCCTTTAGCAAAGTGGGCGACTCGGTGATCAGATTGGATGTAAATTTGAAAATGATGGACAAACCTGGGAATAGAAGAAATCCATTGAAAACAAATCTGACAATCAATCTATTTGTCTGGGGCCAAAATGAGATTTTATTTGGCAAGTGCTTTAATGAAATGATTTTTTCATGTTCTCACTTTCAGGAGCACCGGTTATATGTAGAGGTGGTTGAAGCTTTATGTGAAGAACGTATAGTTTGGAGGGAAGATGGTGTTCCTCTCATTCGAAGCAAAGAAGACCCCAGTGAGTTAAGCTAACAGAAGTAAAGACTGGTCCTTTAATGAGGTCTTGAGGTCACCCTGAAGATCTGATTTCACTGTCATATGGTTATAACATACATTCTTTCAACACTCCTTTTCACTGCAATACCTATCACTTGATGAAATTGTCTTGCAGTTTCAATGTTTTCTGCTGGTGGTTTTGGCCTCATAAAGCTTGTAACTTTGACAAAATTAGTGATGAATAATGATATGAGCATCAGATGGGTTTTGAGGGGCCCCTGATTAGGATTGTGGGATTCTTCTCGTATGTGTGCCCTTGGCTTCTAAAAGCTGTTGGGCTCTGGACGACTTCTATACCTGATTAAGAATAACATTGATCGAGTTCAGATCATCTGCTGTGATGGTAACATTTGTATCTTCATTTGACCTTTTAAATTATGAGAAGAGATCTCAGTGCTTATCCAACTGATGATAAGTTTGGATAGTTGTTACTTTGTAGGCTGTTTTGGATTACATTGGTTTCACAAAATTTTTAAGAACGATGTGCTCTAATGTAATACCTCTAATAACTATTCCTTTCATTGGGTGTGGAATTTTGTTACATGCTCATATTCACACCCTCATCTTGCTTTCCTGGGATTACATGAAGTTCTAACGAGAGTAAAATTTCTTTTTGTTTATTTTCAGATTTCAATATTAAATTTCTTCTGTATTTATTTCGGTCTAGATCCAAGCATATGGTAACAGTCCCAGCCTGGCGCATAAAAGGCATGAATAACTAAACAAGTGGGGATTAATTTTGTTTTATTAAAGTAAGTCATTTTATCATTTTAAAATTTATTCATAATAAAATAAAAGTTATATTTTTAGAATTAAATTAGGTCACAATCATATTTACTTCAGTTAAATAATAATTTTTTTGAAATTTATAGTGTGCAAATTATTTGATAGAAATTTATGAAATACCAGCTAAATTGAAGTCATCAAATGTGTTTCATTTCCCGTCTTCTCTAATGTCTATTGAGAAGCCCGATCCTCCAAAACTTAGATGCCCGTACGTCTGATTCATTCACGATGCTTCCTATCAGGTTAACTTTCGAAGAAGTACTCTCTTACACAGGAGTTGTTGCCCAAAAAAAGAAAAGAAAAACGCATTAGAGCTAGTTGGGATATATCTAATTTTAAATATAAGATTTTAATTATTTTATTTCTTATATTTATTATTTTTTAAAATTAATTGACTTAACTTATAAAATAATATATAATTTACTATTACATATGATTATTTTAAAGAGATCATGTCACTTTTATTATAATTAATTGATTATTAATTAATTAATTAATTAATTCATTCATCTAACATTTTTAATTTATGAAAATTAATTGAGTGGTTTTTATATTAAGAATTGAAAGTAGTGTATTTTATAAAAAATTAATTTTTAAATTATTTAGTTACCATTTTTTAAGTTATAATATTTTTTAAGGCTACTATTAGAAAGCATTAGAAAATAAAATTACGTATTAATTGCGAGGGAATATGAGTTTTAAATTCTTAAAAAGTTAATACTTTGAACGAACTAAATAAGATAGATTTTCAAATTTTTCAGGAGGTTTAACTTCTCCCCTCCAATCTATAAATGCGTAATTGATCATAACATTTAAATATAATAAAGTTATACTTTGTCGGCAAAAAAAAAAAAGGTTATAAGTTGCAACGCTTTATGCACTTCTTTGCCATGTGAAAGATTAATATAATTTAAATTTCTTAATAAAGTTAATTACTCAAAAACTAAATATAAATAAATACGAAAGGAAAACCATGTTATTGACTTCTTTTTTTTAAAAAAAAATGACAGAGAAAAATTCCTGCGCAAAAAAAAGCAGTATTGAATGTAACCCTGACTCGCATGCCGAGAAGAGATTCTCCGCCTCATGCTTCTGTTATCCTCCGTTTGCCGACCCAAATATTAATTAGAGAGCGAGAAATTGTCCTGCGCAGAAGAATGAGATCTACTTCACCAGAAGCGTTTTGCTTTTCTTGATTAATCTGCCCAAGTATGCTGCTCCTATATGAGTTTTCTTATCTATATATTTACCATCCGATTTTGTTTTGTTTTCGGGTTTTGTGTGTCTATTCACTTTGCTTTTGCTTATTGTTTTGGTATGAGCAATGATGGTGATTGTTGATCCTCCTATAAAGTCTTCGGATTTTGTCTTGACCCCTGCTGTTTGGAGAGAAACAAAAATTGCTAAGATTGGATATTTTGGGCAAATTTGGTATAATTGATTGGGGCAAGATTGTGAGCTTCTCTTGCACTCTCCTCCTCCTCGGGGGTGAGGTATTTCATTTTAAAAAAGGATTACTGTTTCTAGGATCTTATTTCTGCCTTTGGAGAATAAATAATTAATGTCGTATTTCCACATTCCAATCAGATGCTCAATGAGCAGAAGCAATTAAGCAACAATTGTTTTTGAAGGCTGTTAGCAATTATCTATTCGATGTGTTGTTAAGTGTAGTGGGCCTTGTAGAACATGCCTTGGTGTTTCTTTCTTTCTTTCTTTCTTTTTTTTCTTTTTTTCTGTTTTGGCTTTTGTGGTATCAGATTATGGTTGGTCGATCTATCTAAGAGTTTTACTAATCCATGATCCTTTCTGATTTATGTAATGATTTATAGTTAAGGATGCATGTTTGTTGCTTCCTCTCTTGTGTACACGTGCAAAATTCTTGCTAATCAAAAGGAAATTTTCTAATATATCTTTAGGTTAGATGTTTGCAATTTGAATCCAATAACCTTATTCCATTAGCTATTCTTGTTTCTGTTGTGAGGAGTTGAGTTTTCTTGCTTATTATCTACACAGTGAGTGTTAGAAGACAGTGACAAGTTTGTACTCATATAGTTGCTTTGCTGACATAGGATCTGGGTGATGTTGCCTACCTCAATGTTTTGTTAATAGGGTGCTTACACTTCATGTTGACTGGACTTGATATGGCTATTATACTTATTGATTAACGTGTTGGTTGGCATGAGGTTGGATTACTGATTGGTTGAATTGCTTGCATCATTTTAAGTTTTAGCTTTCATTGGGATGACCTGCTGCCTTATGGTTTGCGGGATTTTCTAACTCTGCAGCTTCAAAATACAGTCAAACAAATTGTCAGGCTGTAGGGGAAAATGGCAGAGACGATATCTAGCTTCTGGGGTCCAGTCACATCTACTATTGAGTGTTGTGAAAAAAATTATGAACATTCATCCTACATTGCGGAATTTTACAACACATTATCCAACATTCCGACCATCCTTTTGGCACTTATTGGTCTTATAAATGCTGTAAGGCAGCGGTTTGAGAAAAGATTTACTGTGCTTCATCTATCCAACATGGCACTTGCCATAGGAAGCATGCTGTACCATGCCACGCTGCAACGTGTGTAAGTATTGATCCCCAATATCCCTTCAACGGTTGAAGTGAATTGATGCCTGGTTGTTGGTTGCTTTTATGCCCTTTAGACTTGTTTTGTTGTGTCCAATAGGTTTGGCGGGTTAGAAATATTTGTTGTTTAAATGAGGAAATGAAGACTGCTTAAGGGATGTGTACAAAACCCTTTATTTATTTATTTATTTTTCTATTTGTATTTGTGTGTGTGTGTGTGTGAAAACAGACCTGGCTAAAAGTTGCTTTGGGAAATTATTGAAAACAGAGCTTTTTGTTTTTCTGGGAAGGGTGTTCTTTTCAACAAAATTACAGAAGGTTGACAAGAGTAGCTGGCATTACTGTACGATGGTTATAATTATTTCGTAGTATTATCTGGATTTGTGGGCTATTGTTCAGGCTTCCATCATTAAGACGGTGACTCTTGTTTTTTTTTTTTTTTTGGTTTGGGTTCAGATAGTGACTTCTTTTCTAATATGGAGTTTTACATTTTGGATCAGTAGCTTGAATAATAAGTTCCTTAACATTGGTTGGATTCATGAAAGTTTAGAAGCTTAAAATAGGTTCTCTGTCTTGTTGTCCTGGCCGAGTTGGAACTTTTAAGGTGTTATCTATGATGGGTGGATGTATCCAGCTTGTGTCCTGGTGGTGCTGTTTTTTGATGGAGTGGGCCCTAATTTCATTTCCAAATTTACTGACATAGGATGTAAAGTATGGTCCTTGTACCTATAAATCTGAGTGCTTGCTCCTGCTTACTATAGTGACTTTTCTTCATTTGTTGAATCATTGGATTGGGCTGTTAGGTGTGTGTCTATGATAAGTATGTGTTCTTTTTATTTAATGTGTCAATCATTAAGTCAATGTTTGTTTTGGATCACTATTTATTCATCTGATTTTGCACTTTAATTTAGGCAACAGCAGAGCGATGAAACTCCTATGGTATGGGGGTGCTTCTGTACATGTACATCCTCCATTCGCCAGATTGGCATTACCGCAGTACAATGCCCATCTTCCTCTTCCTATATGGTGCTGTTTTTGCCATCGTACATTCAGTGGTCCATTTGGGTATTGGCTTCAAAGTGCACTATGTCATCCTATGTCTCCTTTGCATTCCAAGAATGTACAAGTATTACATTTACACTCAAGATACATCTGCCAAGCGCGCTTGGAAAGTTATACTTGGCTACTCTTGTGTTAGGCAGTTTGTTTTGGTTCATTGATCGTGTTTTCTGCAAGGAGATATCCCGCTTTCCCTTTAACCCACAGGGTCATGCTTTGTGGCATGTCTTCATGGGTCTCAATTCCTACTTTGCAAACACATTCATGATGTTTTGCCGTGCTCAACAGCGTGGGTGGTCTCCTAAAGTTGTCCATTTAATGGGCATTTTACCCTATGTGAAGATCCAGAAACCAAAAACCCAATGAGAGAACTTGAAAGGAGAATATGAAAGCTTCTCCATCAGCTTACATTTTGGCAAGCTAAGTTATTAGCAGACTATTTGTGTTCATGCTCAATTTTTGGTTTTGTTTTAGGTTGTCTGAAATGATGATTGATTATTTTACATATTTTGTTATAGAAGTAGGACATGTGCCATATTTGTGGTCATACTGGTATTTTCTTGAGCCTGGACTATCCCTACGTTTAAAATTGCTTTGACAACCAAGACCGTTGTTTTGCTGTACTGGATGTTGTTGGACACGAGATTAACCCCTCAATATTCTAGTTGTAATGGATTATGACTTTACTCTCGCCAAATTTTATGTTGAGCTCTTTGAAATGTCATGTGCAGTTGCTGTTGCTTTCATTGGGAATTGTTCCTTCAGGAGCTTAGCAGTTTTAGGTGGGACAAATCATAGCTGCAGTTTTGATATTTTTCAATCAGATTCTCTAGTTAGAATATAGCATGTGGATATAGAAAACTTCATAGCAAACAGCCGAGTTATCTGTACCTAGATTCTGTTCTTCTGGTAGCTAGGACATTATGTATCTGTGCCTTCTGCCTTGTAGTGGTCTGAGCTGCCAGTGTTGTGATGCTTTTAAAAGCTATCCTAAATCCTTGTGTTTTATCCAATTGGAATTTTGTTGTAGCTTGGGAATATTCTTGCTGGGAGAAAGTTCAAAATTTTTGGTGATCTTTCCTCTTTTGAAAGTAATATGTTGTTC